CCCGATCAAGTCCCCCTCCCTCATCTGCTCAAAGAGCAATCAGGGTTCCCTGACCTGTGGGAAGCCCAAGGACTGCCCACCTCTATCCAGGTCTCATAAGGTGAGCATCCAAACTGCCTAGGCTCCCACAAAGCCAGTACGTGCAGTAGGATCAAAAACCCACTGCAATTGTTCTTGAATTCTCAGTATTCCTCATTGTCCGCTATGTTCAGCTAGTCTGGATTTATCCCATGCTTTTTCAGACCTAGGCCAGCTGGCCTTGGTGAGTTCCCAATAGAACATCCCCATTGTCTTAGTGTGTGGGTGCACCCCTTGTGGTCCTGAGTTCCTTGCTCGTGCTCCGTCTTCTTCTGCTCCTGATTTGGACCTTGAGATTTCTGTCCGGTGCTCCCATGTGGGTCTCTGTCTCTGTCTCCTTTCATCCCTTCAACGGAAGAATGGATGAAGAAAGTATGGAATATATACATATTAGAGTATTACTCAGCAGTAAAAAAGAAGGACTTCTTGAATTTTGCATACAAATGGATGGAAATAGAAAACACTATCCTGAGTGAGGTAAGCCAGACCCAAAAAGAGAAACATGGGATGTACTCACTCATATTTGGTTTCTAGCCATAAATAAAGGACATTGAGCTTATAATTCATGTTCCTAGAGAAGCTAAATAAGAAGGTGAATCCAAAGACAAACACATAGGCATCCTCATGAATATTAACCTTCATCAGGCGATGAAAGGAGACAGAGACAGAGACCCACATGGGAGCACCAGACAGAAATCACACCTTTGAGTTCTAATCGGTACAGGAGAAAGCATGTTTCTTGTTTCATTCTATTTTATTGCCTTCCCTGTTTTCCTCTGCTTCATACCACCCTACACTCAACTAACACCTTGTCAATCTTTGCAATATTTTTATTTTGTGAGTAGTGTCTCCCCACCCCCACCACCCCATGCACCAGATGTCATCTGTCAACATCGAATCTTTCTTTCTTTCTTTCTTTCTTTCTTTCTTTCTTTCTTTCTTTTTCTTCCTTCCTTCCTTTCTTTCTTTTTTATTTAATTTTTTTCTTTCTTTACTTCTTTCGCTTTTCTTTTCTTTTTTTTTTTCTTGAGACAGGATTTCTTGTGGAGCCCTGCCTGACCTCTGACCTGGAATTCACATATGGAGTGTGCTGGTCTGTAACACACAGTGATTCACTTGCCTCTGCCTCTCTAGGGTTGGAAACCAGAGTGATGTGTCACCATACCCCACATACTTGGGTCTTCCTATTTACACTGTGACCACTGAGTCATGTCTCTAGACCCACACTAGATGATTTGACAGAACTTTTCCCAGAAAACCTTCAAAACATTTTGTCATGTTTGTCCTCCAGGGGAAAATTTACAAATAATCCAATTTCCTTGAACTCTAAAAACAAATCTGGGAAGAACCATCACCATTAGAATATTAAATTTTTGGACTGTATTTTCATTTATTTAAATGCATTTTTCATGCTTCTTGTAAAGTTTAGTGTGTTTTTGAATTGGGTGTCTCATGTTGTTCTTATTTGTTACTGAATTATTTGCAATTATACAAGGAACCTTTGTTCTTAATAATTACAGTTGATACTTAGGAAAAACACTGATTTTTTTTTTTAGCGTGTACATTTTATATAAACTCCACCCCCACCCCCGATTTTATGTGAACTTTTAAATTTATGCTGTCTGTTACGATTGCTTACCCACTTGGTCCTTTTGAGGTTTCAGGGAGACAAGAATATCAACCGAACCTGGGCTGTGTGACAGAAATGCTGACCATGAGTGTTCTGTCCTGACTGTCACAGCTCGAGTCTTTCGCATTAAGCATGATGCTGGCAGCCGCCTTCCAGAAAATCAAATTTGTCTGAGTTTGAGACACTGAGATTATGGACTACTGCCTTCTCCAGCAGAGTTCTGACAACATGGTTTCAGATGTGTGTTGTGCTTCAGCATTTGCTCCACCCTGCTAACAAGCCCACAGACCTGATGCTCGCCTCAGGATTTTCTGATGAGTCATCAGTTTTCAAGCCACCGATCTATCTATCTTTCTTGTCTCATTTCACACGTACTTGTGTCGGCTGCATGGAGATTTTATTTTAGATTCATATTAATCTTCTGCTGCTGTCTGCAGTTTGATCTTAAGCAGAGTATTAAAGGGAGGCAGGGAACATTTTAAAGCCTTTCAATGCTAGCGTATACAGAACTCCAATCACTGCAACCATGGATGGTCTTTTCTGAAGTAAATTCAAAATTGGCATTCTCTGGTGAGCCTTCAGAAATCAAGTTCCTTTGAAGTACAAGACACTTCACAGACAACCCAGGGCAGCGTCAAACATAATGACAGTCTTCGTTCTAAGGCGACTTCAAGATAGCACACTTAGTTCAGGGGATTTCAGCTCAAAAGTGTTTACTCTAGATACATACCAAGAAATTCACTATGGTTCCAGATCTTTTTTTTTCTCAGATTGTTCCTTATTCTCTCAATATTTCTCATTATTTCATTGTGTTTATTTTACTCTGATCCTTCAAGTGCTATCTTCTTCCCAAGGCAACTTTTCATGAGGGTCCATATTCTAAACAACTGTAGATCAGTACCATGAAGGCAAAACGAAGGGACTTGACTTTGCATTTTGCTGATAATTTTGAATATGCTGACATAATATACACATAATCAGTTTTTAAAATTAAGAATTATAATGGCTAAAATACATTCTCTAAGCTGCACTTGCAGCAACTAATAATTTCTGTTTCTTCTTAAATGTGCCTCTGGTTACATGATGAGTTCTTATTTTTTCAGTACTTCTGTCATATTTAGGACAAACAATGAAACTTAGGAAAAGTTTACTGAAATAATTGCCTCATGGTGATTATGAACAGATGAAATAGAACAAAGACAAGGATGGGTGAACAAAATAAAGGGAGGGGGGAGGAGAGGAGAGAAACTTATTAAAACAGCATTGCATCTTAGGTGGCATATTTTTACATTGTTATAAAATTTAAAATTTATATTAAATTATATTAAATACACATGTTTACACTCATTACTGAAACTAGAGGGCTTGGGGAAGCATGCAGAATGGGTTTTTGTACAGAATTTCTTTTGTTTAGTGAAGAAATGGGACTGAATACTGGAAATTTTGGGAGGCAGAGCCATGCTTTTGACAATAATAAATTTTATTCCTCCTTATGTTTTTTTTCTGCCTGTGGCATCTAGTATGTTTTTCTGTCCTTGTGATTTTCAAGGTCCCTATGTTGCTAGGTTAGAGTGCTATGTTGTTATTTCCTCATCTGTGACCATAAAAGTTTGACCAAGCACGCTTATTTTGTGAGGATCTGGGCTTTGATTAGTTGAAAGCAGGTTCTTTGTGTCTTGGGACAACACTCACTATCCTCTGTTTCTCCCCCAACCTCTCTAAAGCCTCATGAAGACACTGGATGTGTTTGGGAATTGGCTTCATCAAAGGATTCATTAAAAAAAAAAACAACTAAGTTATTGGCCTCATCCATTTTTTTTTAATCCTGTGCCACAAGTTGCCACCCTGACAAAGAATCTCTCCCTGAAGTGTCCTCTCTTCCCTATGCAACCTTAGCAGACGATTAACCAGGGACCAGTGACTTGGCAGGGTGAGCTTGCCTTTGAAGAGGCTGTGGGCATGGAGGCAGAGAAAGTATCTGGAACAGATGTTTTGGGTTGCTTACAGTCTCAGACTCTTCCAACATCCAGGATGCCATGCTGAGTGGATGGTAACATTGGCAGCACATTTTGCTTCTATCAGCTAATCCAATGGGTTGGGGAGACACCAAGGGAATAAGAGAAACCTGAGAACGCTGTCTTCAGCATCAGTCACACGTGGGAAGCTTCACCAGAGAATACTCCATGACATTCTGACCAGATTCTAAGCCATCTCAACCTCCAAGCATGGTGTTGTTGAACACGAACCGGCATATTTATCTGTGTGTTTATTGATCGTATAATTTATCTTAAAATAAGGTCAGTTCAGGCCGCTTATCTTTTACACGTTATTTTTTCCCCCAGCAGTGGTGGCTGATAGACTTGCTCTATGTGTTGGTGACTGTGGCCTCCCTAGAAAAGAATCCCATCCCTGCTTAAGGAGCTGTGTGACAATAAACAGGATAAGTAGAAGGAGGTCACTTGTCTGTCCCTAGGTACAGATCCTTAATCTGCAAAGCTCCAGGCAGCTAATCAGCTGTAACCCGGGGTTACAAAGATCTATTTGCTAGTTGTTTGTCTCTCCCCCCTCCTCCATTTCCCCTCTTGTCTCTTTTCTCTCCTCTGTTCCTCGCTCCTTCATTTCAATTCATGAAATTTATTTTTCAGTGTGTATCCTAGATTTTCATTATCCTTAAAAATTTTCATTGTGTATCCTTGTTCATCTAACTTTACAAGTGAATTTATAGTGAAAGGAATTAGCCTTCCCAAACCACTCTTTCCATCTGTAACCCCTTTCCAACAGGCGTTCAGACAGTGTCTCTGTGAGTTTTAGGCGGTTCGTTTTAGGCGGTTCCTCAGTTCGTTTTGGAAGCAACTTGCTCTCTCTCTCTCTCTCTCTCTCTCTCTCTCTCTCTCCCTCCTTTCTCCCCCCCACCCCTTTCTCTTCTCCTCTCCCTTTTCCCTCACCGCCTTCCTTTCCTCTCCTCCCATTTTTGCAAACCCACACCCAGTGAGCCTCTCTCCAGACGAACAAATAGACGTCCGGGGCTTGCCAGGGAGTTCAATGTCACGCTGGGCAGAAGTGGAACAGGAGAGCGGCGGGGCGCGCGCTGGCAGAGGAGGCGTGCGGCCGGCAGGGGGCAGCCGAGGGGCAGCGCTGGCGCGCGGATGCTGAGCTGAGCCTCGCCCCGCGCCCGCATCCTCAGCCTCAGCACCAGGCGCAGCAGAGCCCGGAGCGCAAGCCACTGAGGGCAGCGGCGGCGGCGGGAGCGAGGCGCGCAGCTGAGCAGCGGCGCGGGCGGGAAGCAGCAGCTGCCGCCGCCGCCGCCGCCGCCGCGACGGGCAGCCGGGCTCGCGGGCAGCCGGCTCCGGCCCCTGGCCCTCGGCCTCGAGCCCCCGGCGAGTCTGGAGTCCGCGCCGTCGCCGGCCGCGTCCTCCGGGCATGGAAGGCGGCGGCAAGCCCAAGTCCGCGTCCAACAGCCGCGACGATGGCAACAGCGTCTTCCCCTCCAAGGCGTCCGCGACGGGGCCGGCGGTGGCCGACAAGCGCCTGGGGACCCCGCCGGGGAGCAGTACGGCGGGGAAGGAGCACGGTAACTCCGTGTGCTTCAAGGTGGACGGCGGAGGCGGCGAAGAGCCGGCGGGCAGCTTCGAGGATGCTGAGGGTCCCCGGCGGCAGTATGGTTTCATGCAGAGGCAGTTCACCTCCATGCTGCAGCCCGGGGTCAACAAATTTTCCCTCCGCATGTTCGGCAGCCAGAAGGCGGTGGAGAAGGAGCAGGAAAGGGTTAAAACTGCAGGCTTCTGGATCATCCACCCGTACAGTGACTTCAGGTGAGGGCTCCCTGGCGTCGCCCCACCCTGATCCCCCCCTTGGCGCACCCTCCAGCATCCTACCGCGCCCCTGGGACGGGGCGCCCCGGGGACTCGCAGCGGGGTGCGGGGCAGGCGGGGCAGCGCTGCCCGTGGCTCCTACTCAAACTGGCCAGACTCAACTCTTCAACTAGTTTCCATCCAGGAAAGGTTTGGGGTACAGAGTTTCTTCTCCCCAGGGCGCCAGCGAAGCTCGTTCCCTTTGTCTGCTGAACTCTGGGGGTTAGATGGGGAGGGAAAAAGGCCACTATGACCCCTGGACGGGAGGTGGCTAAGTTTCACTAGGGAAACTTTTACTTCGGTAATGGGAGAGTTAGGAGTAGGGCAGACATCCTTGCTAGCGCTGCTCCCCAAAGAGAAAAAAGATGCTTCTGGGATTCCGGAGATGAGGAAACTGGAGACAGTGACTCACAGGTCCTAGCTGTTCCTGCCACTCTCGCCCCTGGGAGTGTTAATCTGTTGTTCTTATGCTTATAGACGCTCTTGTCCCCACCGCATTTCTCCAGATCAGTGACTGGCAGGCACAGGAAGGACACTTGTGCTTGCTTGGCTTGGGTAGTCTGTGACTTGAGGTTTCAGCGGAGCCAGTGCTGCCCAACTGGGCAGGAGTGTGACAGGAAGCTTCGAGTTCCCGAAACAGAGATGGGGGGAGCGTTTCTAGAGCCCCCTTCCTGAAATAGAGCCACATCCGCTCTTGACCTTGACTACAAATCCATTTCAGAAATGCCTTACCAGTTTCCCAGCCTTGGAGGATGGGCACAGCAGAGCTGTCAGCAGGAGAAAATTAATATGAGTTTCCTGATCTTATTTGTAGCCCGAGTATTCATTCGGTTAATAAGCACGTTTAGAGACTGACAAATGAAGGTCGTGAAGTAGATCCTCTTATTAGCGTGACAAGCCGCCCCTGAACATAAGCAGAGTCCTTCTGAAAATCCCCAACTAGCAACTCCGGGTGATCCACTTGTTTGTTTATCTAATTTGTTCGAACAAGGGGGAAAACACAGCAACGAAAGGAGTGTATTGCACACTGAGCGTTTAGCCTCCTGGTAAACCACAAGCAAACAGCAACAAAAAGCCTTACTTCGAGCAGTGTTCAGAAACTAACCGAAATTGTTGTGAAGTGCCTGCAGGGGAGGGAGCTGTCCATAGTTCTGAATCAAGTTAACTGTGGACTACAGCCCAGCAAAGAAAGCTTGGGGAGACAACTGCCCATCTTTCCCAAGATATTTGTCGCCTCAGAAATCAGCAGTCTCTCTTCTTGTGCACGGAGTGGGTGTATTATATGAAAGGTTTAGCTTTTAAATACTTATTTTCAAAAACACATAGGAAAATCCCTGAAGGGCTTACAATAGTTAATGCCATTGTCTGTGGATTATTGGGTTCAATTGAAAGAATGTTCAGGCTAAAAGAGCCTCCCGAGTAATCAAGTATGCTTCATCTGCAGGAAGATATTTGGAAAGGCAAATCATAGATGGTCTTGCCCCATCCTAGGCAAATTAGGTTGTTACGCTCTTTTGAATTTTAAAAGCGGGATTTGAATACCATCTCTTTTTGAGACCTCCTTGGGAATATAATCCAAATGATACTATACATTTCAAAAGAAAAACTTTGCAAGAGAATATTCAACAGTCTTAATAAGAAAAATGAGACCTATGTTTTGAAAAAGATTATGACATTCAATGATAACATGCCAAAGGTGCTAAACTTTATTTAGCTGATATCACATTTAATTAAATGAGTTCGAAGGATACTTTTATGTATTTGTCAACAGAAAAATGATGGTGCTTTTCAAAATAGCAGCCTGTATCAAATGATTAAAGTGCCTCTCTCATTTCTTTTTTCTAAAAGTATATAGGGCATATAGCAACTTTTCATGAATTGGAATCAGATGTTTAATCCATGGATCAGTGAAATTAAGGGATTCTACATATTTCCCCAAGAAAATCTGGAAAAGCAAAAGCAAACACGGAACAAAGGTGGGAGGTGAAACCAAGTGATGATGAGGTTTTGTCCTGTATTTCACAGCAGTGAAAGATGACTGAGAACGAGCTATATACTAACAAACCCTAGCACAGTTTGGGAGACTTGATTGCCCTTGCATAGAGGAAACATAGCAGCAATAGGCTAAATAATCAGTATTATGCAAAATTTTTATAGGAGATATCTGAAAAAATTGAAATGAAAAATTGCAGTATTCCTTTGTTTTTTTTTTCTAAAAATGACAAACTAAGGATTTTGGACACATTGTACCTGTTTGGGTTCAGAAGATGTTACTAATTCATATTTTTGTATAGTCATAACACCAAATACAAGCATTTCCAAAACCTATGACATGGCAAAAAATGTAGTTGTTAAACCCACAACCAAAACCAGACAAAATTTCAGCAACTTTTTTCTCTACAGTGAAAGCAGTGTTCAAGTGGCCTTCAGTGGATGCTGGAAAATTTGATGGTTTTGATTGGCTCATCTCAGACCTTTCCTGAGCAAGGACTTTAAGGGAAGTCTTTTGCCGAAGTTACTAAATCATCAAATTTAAGTTGATTAATCTGCTAACAGAGAGAGTACCACACAAGACTACATTTCCGAGGAAGGGCATTGGTTTTGGAAAGTCTGAAACAAATTGTTACCTTCATAGCTCTTTGTGAGCCCTGGAGAGTGCCCTCTGCATTTGCTGCCCATCCCCAAATTGCCAAGGGCAGTGTGTCACTTCTCCTTAGGACACGCCGTGGTTTTAGTGCTGTGCCTAATATTCTGGTGGCCATGTTGGGGTGACTTCTCAGGCAGAGATCCTTTCCCACTTCCTTCTAGGTGAGGGCTGTGCTCCAGATGACACGTTCAGACAGCTAGCTAGTGGCTCTTCTGCTCACCAAAGTCCAAATGTGCTACTTTTGTGTCTGGCAGGTAACAGTCTTCCACTTCCAGTGTAATTAGGACAGAGGCTCTGTGTTTTCCTTTATTTCTCTGGAGAAGATAATGGCAGGAACCTTCAGGGAGTAAAGATGAGTCTGGTGATAGTGACACTGTAAGAAACCATGTGGCAGGAGCTAGGAAACATACTTTTTTTCCCCTGTGATATTTAATCATCAAGACCGGGGCAAACATTGGTAGGTACGTAGAGGTTTTTTTTTTTTTTTTTTTTTTTTTTTTTTTTTTTTTTTTTTTTTGTGTGTGTGTGTGTGTGTGGTTCTCCTCAACTCCCATGTGTGTGTTTGTGTGTATGTGTGTGTGCGTGTGTGTACAGTTGTGTCTGTGCACGGGGACCAGATTGCATTTCTTCCTCGGTTACTCTCCACTTTGTGATAGATATCTTAAAGTAATTCACACGGCTGTGGTTCTGTTCAGTGAAGCCACGGTCTCTGCCTTTTTGGAATTTGTGTTAACAACACATGTTTAATTTCAAGGTAAAGTATTAATATTTTGAAATAAGCAGTAGTAGTTACACAATTACTAACTAAAATTATAATTTTCACCTATTTAATAATTATGTGATGATAAGCAAGTGTTGTGATCTCACAGCCAACTGCTAGTTATGATATAATTATTCAAACGTGCTGAAAAAATATTTAGACTGCTTTAGTGGATGTGTGCATGTGTTTTGTGTGTGAGTTGTGTGGTGTTTGTGTATTGCTAGGGGTCAGCCTCAGAGCCATGAACATACTAACCAAGTTCCCATTAAGTTACCCACTACCATGGTGAGATTATGATTTCATCATGAGAACAACTTCTCTTGGAAAAAACTTTTTACCATGGTGTTTCATATTTTGGGGGATTCTGATCTCACTTTGTTGGCCCATGCTCACACAATGGTTCATTTAAACAAAATGCCCCTGTTCTACGAAGAAGCCAGCTGGCATTGTGCTCTTTGTTATGGGACACACGTGGGTATGTGTGTGTGTGTTGTATTTTGACTTCTGCTTCTCATTATTAGCACAAGCAACTGTGCACAAAGTCTACTGTGTTTTAAATACTGAAGGTAAGACATCACTTTCTGAAGATAAGAGCACCTTCGCCCCTCTGTGTCTGCCTCACAGTTACTACTGATGTCAGAGGTCACTGCCATGCTCATTAGGGAAGGAAGGCTTCAACCAATTCTCCGGTTCATCAAAGGAAATAATTCAACTTTCTGGGGTTGGAGTTCTAGTTAGCTTACTCTTACAATGTCTTTATGCTGGCTGCACTTCTGAATTCTTCCAGCAATATGTTTGTTCTCCCATATCAGCAGAGCCAGAATAATTCAGAAAGATGTATTTCTATGTTACATGTATATTTTTATATCTTAGATTTAATTAAGCTTTTTTATAAGTACTATGTCAGTGGTAAGCCCAATTAAAAGTTATTTAAAATATTTTAAGCTATGAATTTATTAAGTTACATTTTTATTATATTTCATGACTTAAAGTTTTACTTAATGTTTTGGAATTAAATATCATGTACTAAATATTATAGATATATAAGCATTTCAGTTATAGAAATTTAAAAATTATAAGATAATTTTTATTTTTTCTGAATAAATTTTAAGAATGCTTTTGAGGACTTGCTATAAATTGAGAAACAGTAGATATGTATACTATAACTAAATCATATTTATTATCTTAAAACTTGTTTTAGTTAAATAATAATAAAATTTACATATATTACAAACATTTATTAATTTCATTATGTGTTCAGTTAACTGTACTGAATGCAACTGTATCTGCCTTAACAAGAAAACCACAAACCAAGGTATCATCACCAGTGGTGCACAGCTAAAATACGATCTATAATTCAGCATATTTGCACTCAGTGAATGTATCTCCCATTGGGAGCATGACGCCAGCAAAATATACTTTATGTGAGTTGAATGTGATAACGTTCCCATTCAGGGTAGGCTTTTTCTGTTTCTCAAATAATTCATCTCATAGCTTTGCAAAAGATATTGGGCTTAGCGTGAACCCTTTCAAATATAGTCCCTTGTAAGTACA